TATATTATTTATATTATATACATACATATATATATATATATACATATATATATAAACGTATATATATATATACTCATTTTTATATACGTATGAATATGTATATATATATACATATACACTCATATTTAAATGTATATGAATATATATATATATGTATATATATATATACATATATATATGTATATATATGTATATGTATACATACATACTTATATATATACATACATATATATATATATAGATTTATATTTATATATATATATATATATGTAGTCGTACATGTACAGTATACTATTCCTTTGTGATGGGTTTTCTCGAAAGCATGTATGTCCAAGACACAAAAGACACAACTGATACTATTCAGTTTAGTAGTCACACTTTACAGTTACACGCCATTGCGACGATGTCGCGGGCTGCTATTATTGTTTCGTGGTTTCAAGATTTTTACGTTTCGACATGTTCGTTTAAGCAGTTTTTCGACTGTTGAGTAAATGGGGGAAATGTATTTGAGTACGCGTCCTTTTTAGTGTCCTTTTTAGCGTCCTGGACATCTCATCTTTCCTAACTGGCTAATAACTCACTGCGTTCACCCGGTTCTTGCACACCCACCAGTTGCGACGCTCATAAACCACACGTCGTATCTGGATGCGATTCTCTACTCGGCTGTATCGCCGCCCAATATCATCCCACTGAACAAGACGCTGATGAAAGCCAGTATATTCAAGCTGCCATTCATGGGCAAGATCAGCACCTGGGTAGGCCACTTCCCCGTCCATTTCACGAGCGAGCAGGGCAGCAGTGTCGATCAGGTAGTGTCTTCAATACGAAATTATTTTCCATCGGCTGCTAAGTAATCCTTTTGGGCGTCTCCCATGTGTTCTGCCAGCTGAGGGAGTTTACTGTGTCGTACGTGGTTCAAGTCAACAAATTTAATTTTGGAACTAGATGTTTACATAGGCGGTTGAACGACTCTGCGTGCCATTTTTCGATGACTGGAACAGAATGAGCCCATGCTATTGACATACGTTGACATACGAACCTTGAAGAACACATTTTGTGCAATTCGTTGGCCGGGTGGTCGCATTAATTTGAGACTCATACGTGCAGTGGCTGTGTTGACATGTGGCTTGTTGTTGACTATATTTCGCCTCGTTTGCATGTTTGTAATACCATCTACAATTTCTAACGGGTTGTTTTCCTTTTCTGAACAGACTCAACAGAAACCGGTAATGGAAAATACCATCTACAATTTCTAACGGGTTGTTTTCCTTTTCTGAACAGACTCAACAGAAACCGGTAATGGAAGCCTTCGAAACCTACGTGACCGAGGGCGGAGGACTGACCTTCTGCCCTGAGGGTACGGTGAATGCAAAACCTTACGAGATGCTCTCATGGCGTACGGGCGGTTTCAGAATCACTGAGCGAAATAATATGAAGTACGTGTTCTTCACGCATGTTGGGTGCGACAAGGTATGGGGACCCAAGGCAAAGGTCGGTGGCTATCCTGCAAACTTGAAGTTGTCCGTATCTGCTTACGAGGACAACTCCAAAGAGAGTAACGACCCGGTCGAGAAGGAGAAGTTGTTCAAAGCAAAGGTCTCGCATATGCAGAAAATGATGCAACAAGAAATCAATGCACTGCTATCGTGGGTCACTCATAGAGAGTTTGCAGCACTGTCTACTCTAGCCAATCGACAGTCGCTTTCTTCTGACCCACGCTTGTACTTAGATTGAGAGCTGGATATCGGAACAATCCATATTTTGCTCACAAAGTCAATGTGTTGCTTGCTTTACGGAAGCATTGGCGGATTGAGACGTACATTGGGTCTCGCTAAATAAATTTAGTTTCCTGGCACACGTCTAGTTAAAATTAGAGGAGAAGAGCTTATTACTGAGCCTATGTGGTGGTTCGCTCAGATATCCATCGTTCTCACCCCCTTTGTTCTATTGCAGTAAAGTTATGTACAATAAATTAGAACAATCTTCTACTTTGAATTTTCGGGAATGAAAGTTCTCGTTCACATGAAATTACATGTGGATCTGTCAAATCACTCACTTGAACCGATGCTGCCGTATAATAAGTAGAGGAATAGAGGGATCAACTTCTCGGCGTTCTCTTTGTTTGTAATGCGTTATAGTGAGCGCTCGTTGTAGGCGATGGGAAGTGGCCGACCTTGGTGCTACGTGAAATCTGGGCATGTTGCTTTGAGTTGAATTCGCATGTCTGTTCACGCCCTTCCATCCTCCGGTCTTGGCTATCGACGTGCACGTACGACATGTGGGGGCAGCAGTGGATGATACTGTGAGAATGTGAGAGCATATAAACAACGCCTCGACCCCTGTGGATATTTATCCTGTGCAAATATTTTAGGAGGCTACGTACATATCCTGAAATGCAACGAAACCCTGAAAACCCTATAGAATATTAAGCCCAACCAAATTTAGGCATAAATGTGTACTTTTAACTTTTTATAAATTATGAAAAATTATTTTATTTCTCATAAAAAGTGCAGGGCCTATGCCATTATACTATATAAAATGAGATATACAAATTGAGAGTCTGCATACACATGCATGCACATGAGGCGGGGCAGGGGTGTTCACAACGCTTAGTATTGTTGCATCGACCACAACAGACTCTTTAACCTACATTAACATCGCTTGTTGGAACCACAGAATCTTTTAAAGCAGACTGTCACTACCTCAGTATGCGTCTGAAAGATCAGTTGTCAGGATGCTCGTATATCGAGGCTCTAGTGCGGAAAGCCACTTCCGATAAGCCGTTCCCACCCAAACGCGAGCACTTAAGGGAAATCAGTGGGGCCACGTACAATCCAGATGATTCACAGTTGGTGATGATCATGGAGACCTTGCTGCAACGATATAGAGAGGATAAGGGGTATTGGCGTCATACATACCGAGCTTTGATCGTACACGAATATTTGATTAAGAATGGGTCCGCGAAGTTTGTAGCTCTGTCGCGCAAGTATGAAAGGTAGGTATTGATGCCGGGATTCACTGTGTCGTGGTATAATCCATGTTTTCATACGATGTGCCAATCTTTTATCTTTGCGCACGTCTTTTCATTGCCATTGCTATGTGTAGCCGACTTGGTGCCATTTTGTATACCAGGCGTCTCATTACTCTTATGTTGTTATTGCTAGAGATTGTTTAAATAATCGCACTTTCATTTACCAAATGTAAATTATACAGAAGCTTAACTCTTTTATAAATTAATAGTACTACTGTGCACAGACATAGACAAATTTGTATACACGTAT